ACGAAGTACACTGCTGAGGGGTGCAGCGGGCGGGCCAGGAGAGGTCTGCCATGCCATGTGGTCACCTCTGGGGCAGGCGGGAATCAAACTCATGCGGAAATGGCTTTAGCTTCTCAGTGCTGTGCTTTAACCCGCTGCGCCACCAGGGAGGTTCTCAAGGAATTTTTAAATTTCTTATCTGATATCTTCATTGACCCAGTGGTCTATCAGTAGTATGTTGAACAATCTCCACAAACTAGAGGACTCTTTTGTTTTCTTTTGGTTGGTTTCAAGTTTGCTATCTTTATGGTTGGAGAAGATACTTGGTATGATTTCAATCTTCATGAATTTGCTTATACTTGTGTAGTGGTCAATACTAGAGAATGACCTATATGTATTTGAGAAAAAAGTATATTTGGCTTGTTTTGGGTGTAGTATCCTGTAAATGTCTATTAAATTTAGATTATTAGATCTGCATGCAAGCTATTTCTTTAAGACTACTTTGTCATTATTTTTTAATTTTGTTGATCTGTTTTTTGTTGAGAGTAGGGTGTGGAAGTCTCCAATTGCACATGTATTTTCTCCAGAAACTGTTTTCAGATTTGATAGTGATTATCTGATGTATTTTGGAGCAACTCAGAGTTTTTATTTGTGAGTGTTATGTCTTCCTGTTTTATTACTACCTTAATCATTTGATGGTGTCTATCTCTGTCTGAGAGTGATTCTGGATGCCAGGGTGGTTGGGTCTGGGTGGACATAGGCTGGGATGTTGGTGACTGGGAAGCTCACCACAAACTTCTTTGAGATTGCATTCCAGTGAGTGCCAGTTATATGATGTTTTGAGGCAATATTACCTGAGGGCAATAGCCAATATCTTTTTGGTTAAATCTTATTCAGTCTTCAAATTGTATCCCAAGAATAACTTTTCACTGGAGTCTTCCTTAACATACCCCCAAAAGTGCTTGCTGATCTCCCTATATCTTACGCCTTTCCTGTCACTCATCATATATATTGGTTTCCCAACTAGATTGTGAGACTATGACCATACATTTATCTTCATGCCCCTAATACTTGGCATAAAATCTCAAACAGAGGTCCTTATAAATAAAATTAAAATAAATTTTTATGAAGTGGAAATTTTTTGGGCAGTATTATTTTTAATATAACTACATATATAGTTGTAATGTGATCCAACAATTATACCATGAACATTTATCCCCAAAAAATGTAAACTTAGGTGTATACAAATCTGTACATAAATCTGTACACAAACTTTCACAGCAGCTTTATTCATAATAGCTGCAAATTAGAAACAACCCATAAGTGAATGATTAACAAAAATATGTTTATATCCATACCATACTATGTATGGTATATTACTGAGCAACAGAAAGAGTAAATGACTGATACATATAACAACTTGAATGGCTTTCAAGGAATGAGTGTTAAGTAAAAAAAAAAAAAAAAAACTCAAAAGTTAATACCCTGTTCGATTCCATTATTATAAAATGACTGGAAAAACAAAATTAAGGACATGGATGACAGTTCAGAGGTAACGAAAAGGGAAGTGGGATAGGATGATGGATGCAGCCTTCAAAGGGTTGTACAGGAGCATCATGGTGGAGGTAGTGGCAATGAATCTATAAATGTTATAAAATTTCACAGAATAAATATAACACAGAAGAATTTAGTTATTATTTGTTAAATACTATAAATACATGCGAAATTTCCACTATCATGAGTAGGTCTCAGAAGGATCAATCTAATAGCAGTATAAAATACTAGCAGACTGTAATAAAGGCAGAAAGAGACAAAATAAAATATATTACAAAAAGAGTAATACCTAGCATTTATCAAAATGGGCAATGGTTCAATGCAATTCCAATAAAAACCTCTGTGGTTTTTTACAAAGAAATAGAACAAATATTGGTGAAATTCATATGGGACAACAAAATACCCTCAAACAGCCAAAACTTTCCTAACTAAAAAGAAGACTTGAGGTGTTGTATGCTATACCACAAAGTCATAAAAGTTAAAATGGTATGGTACTGGAACAAAAACAGACAAAAAGACCAATGGAATCAGATTAAAAACCAAGTTAT